GAGTGCTTCCTTCTGCTGCTCCTCACAAGTCACTACCAGAAGCATACCCCAAATGCTGACAAAGACACACAGTACAAATAAAACCTGGGTCATGCATGCCTTGCTGATGCAATATAAAATGGCACTGCCATTGTGGGGGAACGCTAAACAGGTTTTAAAACAAGGAATTATTACATAACCTAGTCCACTGATCTTCTGGACATTTTTCTCATGGAAATGAAGAGTTATTTTCATGCAGTGTCTTATACATATTGTCCGTAGTAGCTTGATTTGAAATAACTCCAAACTAAAGTATACTCAAATGTCTTTTCGTGGGTAAGTGACTAAACACACCGAGACATAGACGTCATGGAATACTATGAAGCAATAAAAAGGAATTAATTAGTAATACACTGTGGTGAAGGGAAATTTCATGAAACGGTGTTTGTTTATGTCTTTGTAACTCCCACCAAATGATTGGGTGGGGACAATGCAAACAGGATGTGTGAAACACAAACAGAGGGGATTCATGAGGATAAGAATGAGGCATCTCAGATGCAGGAGAGAGAATTCCCTGAACTCCCCAGGAAGAAGGACCACGAGTTTAAAATGTTTCAAATCCCTGTCTCAATAGCAGAGGCAGCACACAACCCGCCACCCTGAGACCAGAGGCTGAGTTAGGGGACCAAGAGACAGAGCTGAGGAGCAGCACTGAGTGAAAAAAGTCAACCAAAAAAGGATACAGGCTGTATTATTAATTCATAACATCATTATAGAGATGGCTAACAGTTTAGTGGTCCTCAGGGGTTAGAGATGGAGGGGGCAGAATGAACCTGCTTATAAATAAATAGAATAAAGACACTTAAGATGGCAGTGGCTTAAATCTCCACGTGATAAAATTGCATAGTCATGGCTACACATACTTTTCTCTAAAGTTAAAGAGTATACTCTAAGTAGTGAAATATGAGTGACTTCAATAGATCATAACAATGCCAATATTCTGGTTTTGACATTAATAATTACACAAGATATCAATACTGAGAGAATATTGGTGCATGAGATCTCCCTATACGTCTCTTTGGAATTTCCTGTGAACCCATAATTATTTCAAAAGAAAAAGTTAATAAAATCACTACGGTTCCATGATATATTCATAAAATAAATTATTTTCAAAATTAATTCCTGATTACTTATAACTGTACAGGACAAGTTTACATTAGAAATGTA